CTTGGGCACTGTTATTATGATGTTGACACCTTGGGAAATTGACAATGACATCGTGAATTCCGAATCCAGGAGTCAGTGACAGCACGCGCAAGTGATTCGCTTGAGGCATGCTCTCTGTGCAAATATTGCCATGACCTTGGTTGATCTACTTGAGAGGCTTGAATCAGTATGCCTGAGCGGAGGACCCACTTGTCAGGATATTTAATATTCAATGCACGTTGCTGTCGCTTGTTTTTCTAAATGCGGCACAGAGTATGGTGACTTAGGCAGAGAGAAGATTTGCTGCGTCCAATCCTGGCCGCTTTTGTCCGGTGACATACTGTCGCAGTGCCAGCCTTGATGCGGTTGGATGACGGCGGTAGCTCCAGCGATTTGGTCACAGGTGGCACAAACGCCGCCTGTGATGTTCTTAACTGTCATTCTCAACTGTCCAGGGATTCCATGAGCAACTGGAATGTTGCAGCGGTCGCCTGCAGGCCAGAACCACCGTTTGGGGATGGTCAAATGGTTGAGAACCTTTGTGACTTTGTGTTGCTAGTATTCATGGCCGACTAAAATACATGCAACTAGTTCGAAGGGCACCACTTGAAATTCGCTATCTACCTACACATGCCACTGTTGGCAGGATTGTTTCATGCGTCCCGTAAGCTCTGAGTACGCGAGTCGTTCTGGAAGTTGTTGTGAGTTGAAAAGTTGCGCCTTTCCGACTCTAGCAATGAAAAGTGCACGGCGAAGGCTTTGCTTGGCCATGAGAAAGCACAATGAATGGATGATACGCGGAAAACTATTAGGAGTGTGTCATGTTTGGCTTGGTGTCATGCCTGGCTTGCTTGGCTACTGTATGCACTACGTGTATGTATGTTGTGTCCTTTGTGGTTGCGTATCGCCGAGATTCGTTTTACGGATGCACTCAACTCGCTGTGGCGAGCACGCGCGGCGTGTTTCACGGCAGCTTAAGAGCAGTGACGCATAGTCAGCTCACGCCACGTCCCTGCAAACGCGTAAGAAAGCTGATACCCTCTGCCCAAAATGAGGGCTTGGCCGCCTTTAAGTGCGCAGAGTTTGCTAAGACGAGGGTCAATGCGACCTTTTGATATAAGGTGCAACACAACAGAATGTTTTTCGCGCTTGGTTCTTCATCCGGATAAAAGCCAGAACTCATTGCCCACGAGGGTCTTTCGAGACGTTTTGAGCACTAGCTGGTCAGTCCTTAGCTTGTTGATGTGGCCAGGGCGAGGTTAAGCTGACCAGTTGCACCGCAGTGTGTCGAAACAGGATGAATGACCCGGCCAAGAACATTGGTAGTCGTCCATTTGCTTAAGAATATGTTTGATTTTCCCTTGTTGGTTTAAAAGGGTTGCTTAAGCAAATGGAAGTAGTAGTTTTGAATTGACTCGACGCATGGCTCTTGGAATTCCTGGCCTCTGGCAGCACATCGTATCGCCGATTGCCTGGCTGCGTATGCGTGGCAGCCGAGGAGAAGCAAGTGCAATTTGGCGTCTTGACTGGGATACAGGGGACATGCAACCCATGTGTGTTCTTCAGTGAGGCCTGATTTGGCAAATGTGGCTCGGTCCCCCAGTAGTGCCCTTTTACTCCCTTTTTTGGGGAGGCTTCCCCTACTAAAATAGACTACAGAAAAAGAAAACAAAACAGGTACCCTAATTCTAACCTCTCTACTGGACGACCTGGGTGGGCAGCAACTTTGCAAGCTGTGTTGGCTGAGCACTGCTGCAACTATGACACAATGGGCATTCAACATTTGCACTGCTGCTTCAGCGGAGTTCTACTTGTGATGTGGCACCTCTCAACCAAGTCAGGCCGAGAAGCTTGCTTAAAGGGACGAATCAGGTGTTTCAAGAAATAGAGAGATCTTGCATGTAGAAGCCAAGCGTACTACTTACCCTTCTCTATCTGGATGAATCTCATGCCTTGAAAGTGCGCTTGCTTCTCCGCAGGTCTGTAATGGGTTTGCATCTCTCACCAGACCGTTTTCCCTCGGTGCTCTTCGATCATTGATGTGACTCCGGCAAGGGGGGAGAGCTCTGGGTCAATTCTGTTTTGTTTGAGCCGGATTCTGTGTTGTTTCCCGAAGCCAGAATTTGCCCGTGTTCCGACCTGCCGAGGCGCATCGATTTGCCGTCAAAGGGACAGCCATGTGTTGGTCAAGTGGATGCGTCTCTCTGAGCAATCTCAAGAGCTGGAATTTCTTCGTCTTTGACTCTGCAGGAGGATACCCAACTGCGCAATCTGGTATACATCAAATATATATATATATAGTTATTTATATAGTTATTTATTTATTTATCTATTTGTACATATGTAATTATATATATAAACACATGCGCACAGCCCTACAGTCCCAGTAGAGCAAGCTCCTGCAATGGCCTCCATGGTCACTCGTTTGCCCCTCTTGGCGTGGAAGAATTGTGGCCACACTTCTTGAGGCTTCTCGCATCACCGTTAGGCATCAGCGTGTGTGTTGGTTGAGAGGGGGTCGTTATGGCATGGGTTTCTCTAGATTCAGCACGGCTGAAGCCGGTGTGGCCACTTTGATTTCAGGCGCCGGCCCCTCTGAGACCCTGAGGCTAGAAATGAGTTCCCATCCAAACCGTGAAGCGGACACCCGCGGGCGTACTGGAGGCCTGCGTTGCCAAGCTACTTCCATCGCATCCCTATGCGCAACTGACATGGGGGCACCCAAGTCTTACGCAAGAAGCCAAACAGCTCAATCTTCCAACATCCAAGTAGTGTATGCTCAGCAAGTAGTGTGGGCTCAGCGGTTTCAGCAAGGAAACGTCTTCTGGCCCACAGATTTGTTTTTATATTTCTTTGCAGTTGGGACACAGCAATTTTGCTCACCTGACGCCTGATCGGGTGGTAAAATAGCTATGCTGTCATACACTAACCAACCTTTTTGGATATAAGGCAACCTCTTGCCGGAAGTGCCGAATGTCTACAGCATCCTTCCAAATGACTAGGACAAACAGCGGCTCCCAAAGCTTGAGTGACTCGAGGTTTTTCAAGTCTACTGTTCTGGGGAAGGAACACGCACGCTGGGAACGTGGCACGATGGCTTGGTCGCACTGCATGACACTATATGGCATTCTGAGCAGGGAAGAGGGCTGATACAATCGCGATTTGTCTCGAAAGCGTCAAGTACTGCCCACCCCTCCCCCCAATCTTGAGCTTCTTAAAAAAGGGATTGAAATAGCTTGCACAGGTTCCTCCAGCTTCAGAGATGCATTTTCACCAGCATTGGGCTCCAGCCAGCTCCAGTTTCGACATGCTTAATGCGCGGAGAAATGGCTCCGGGTCTGTCGCTTTGCAAAGGTCACCATGGGACCTGGCGCGCAACTTATGTGCCGAAAGTGGCCAGTGTGACCGCGGCCCCATAGACCTTTCGGAAACTTTCTGCCTTAAAGGTGATCGACCTTTTGCCACCCAAAAAAAAAGCATTCAGACAAGTGGCACTTGTCTGAACCCTTGGGGTGTGCGATCCTTTCCTCTCTCTTTCAAGGGGCTCGGCCGCTAGAAAGAAGGTGCCGAGTGTGTGTTGGGTCGCAATGAGGGGTAGATTGAAGCACCACATCTAAAGTCCAGCTCCCCGTTCCCAAAAATTCAGCCGACGCTTCAACTCGCCGTCGCTTGCCTTCCCGCCGCTTTCTCGCACCCCGAGGCCCATTTCCCCGGCTGGGGTTAAAAACTTTCCATGGAGAAGCGACCCCGCAAGCCTAAACCTGAACCTTAAACCTGGACTGGGTCCCCCAGTAATGCCCATTGACCAACTTTCTTGGGGGAGGGTTCCCCTACTAGACTACAGGAAAAAGGGTACCGTTATTCCAACCTCTCTACTGGAGGACCTAGTGGACATTCTGACACGTGAAATCATTTTGAGTTTCGTGTTTGTGTCCTCCAGAATTTCCGCTACTTTCGCTCCGTGCTTTTTGTCGTGGAAGTGCTGTCTTCAGGCCGGGTAGACATTCTGATGCATCTTGACGTTCTGGCTTTCCTGATGTTCGTCTTTCAACCCCTGCTTGCCGCAACACTGTGTGTTTGGCCTGCAAGTTGCGGTAGTTGAGTAATTTGTTTTCACTCAGAGCAAACACCTGACTGCCTTCCACAAGATTGCTAGAAAACCTAGTTGCACGCTTCCACTTCGGAGGCACGGAAGACCAAATCAAGTGAACTTTGCACGTGCATCGGACATTGTTCAGGGTTCAGAGCCACTGGGTAGGGAACAAGAGTACATCCTGGCAGAGCTTGACCTCTTACGAGTTTCTGAGTTGTGCTACCATGTGTGTGTGTGTGTGTGGTTGGGTGAGGATGGATGTGTTCGCCGGTAGGGAGGTAAGGTTTTACAATGTCCCAGACGGCAATATGCAGGGTGCAGATCTGAGAGTCGCAAGGGGATGCCGTTGATTCACCAAGTGTTGGAAGCGAGATTGCTCGAGCTGCAGTAGTTCGGTTGGTTGCAAGAGCAACTTTTCACCGGTTCGATCGCTTGGACACTTGGAGATCTTGGTACTGACGCTAGCAATGAAGCATCAGCCTCAGCGATCGGCCCTTGCTCTGCACTGCAGAGGTCTCAACGGCTCATAGATCCAAGTCTTGACAATGTGCTTCTCAAAACTAAGCTTCGTTAGCTCACCCATCTTTCACACTCACTTTGTGCAAAGTCTAGGCTTGCCCGCATTTGCACACATGGCATCCGGGCTTGTCCCTCTCTGGCTCGCAGCGTAGGAGTTGTTGACGGTATGAGAAACGTCAATGTCGGTTGGCTCAAGGCGCAGTTCGGCAGATGTGGTGTTTTCACGTTTGACAGACCCCTTTGAGAAAGTTGAGGCAACCAGATCACAGCACGCAGCTGGTTGGGCCAGCTTCCGTTGGCTGCACAGATCTAGACCGCTGGACCCGGAACGAAACGCCATGGGGGGGTTTTCAAAATGGAGGCACTTGGAGTCCGTCCGGGAAGCAGCGAAAGTAGCCGCAGACACGAGGGAAAAAGCAAACTTGGCATTTTGAGACTTTGTACGGCATGAGCTTCACACCCCCGGCTGGAGAGGCAGGGGCTGGGAGGGCCATGGAGATGCTTTGGACATGCGAAGTTGCTGATTGCTTCTCGCAGGCGCGCACACACACACACACACACACCCTCCCTGCCCGCGGACATTGAGGAACAACGAGCGCGTGGCTAAATCGGAAGCGGATAGAGGTCAAGCTCGAAATTCGGGACCCGGTTGGCAAAGTAATCGCTTCCAAGGTTCAGGTGGTTCATGATAATTAAGACTAGCTCTTGGCTCTAATAGGTCCCCGACCCAGTTTCCCCCCTCCACACCAAGAGAATCCGCTCAGCACTGCACCCACGCTTGCCAAATGATAAGCGCACCCGCTCAAGCGCGCGGCCGCTCAGCACTGCACACACGCCTGCCAAATGATGCGCGCACACGCTCAAGCGCGCCCGCTCCTCAAGCACTCACTCCTTCCAAACGATAAGCCCCTCCCCTCACAATCATTTCCTCAGCTCTGCGCATTCCGACCTCTTGAAACGTCTGGAGACCTTGAAAAGCAAAATGACCACAACATTTGAGGCAAAGGAAGGAGACGTAGGGGGGGTGGATACTGGGTCGCGCCAAAGTACTTATTCCATGCACAACGTCCAGGATGTAATTTTAAGACAGGGATTTAAACAGTTCGAGTTTGGGTGTGGAACCCGTGGGGCTGAAGGAAATTGGCTCGTTTTCCGGAGGCCCTCGATACAGCGGGAGTTGAGGATGGTAGGGGAAATCACTGTTGTTGTATTGCCTCCAAGTTGGCTATTTTTTGGCGTATTCCCGGACCTGGATTTCTATGTTGGGAATCCTGGCAAAAATAATGTTGGGACCTTGATTAGGAAAGGATGAGGCCTGAACGGGCACCACTGGACAGAGGCGCTTGACCGCCCCAGATATTCCAACGGCTAGCGGATGTCTTCTTAGCGCTGCACACATAAAGCCAGCTGTGTGTTTATTGTAGGACACTATGGAGGGTAAACATAGAAAGGCGCTGGTCAGGAGGTGACATCAGGCAGTGTATTGTTGACCCAAAATCAGCGACAATGTATAAGAAAGGCCGTCTAAGGCTGTCTACCGCTGTTGTGTGAGGCACACCATTCCTGGGATTTGGCTGCTGAGCATAGCCTGGCACGTAGCTCTTCGCTATGGGGTACTGGGGCGCATGCAAACGCAGGTAAATATTGACATCAACTCCGCAGGTGTCTCGTTCTTCCAGGACTTTTGCTTTCTCATCAGAACAGCCTTGCTGACGCTTCGCGTACATCTGGTCATTGCCTTTAGGAACGGGCACCAGTCCATGTCGCTGGTTTGCAACCCAAAAGGTTTTTGGTTTCGGCTCCGTTTACCCGTAAACACGGGCTGGACAACGGGTTCCTTCGCTTTTTGGGGGCGCACTGAACAACTTTATGTAGCGCACATGTAATATGCTGGTTTCAACACAATTTTGAAGCCAGCACAATTTTGGAGGCTAACTAACTAGACTTTCCAGCCATTGGTGAAGCTTGCTTTCAATGGTTGGTGGAACCCGATTGAAAACTCGAATCGGTCTGTTAGCATTCGCCATTCCTCAGACACATGGCCGCTTTTCAGCGCCAACTCAACCCGCACTCCCCATTGGCACGGCCTGAACACGCGCATTTTCTGCGAAAATTCGGATGGTCCCATCACTTTGCGTCTCCCACCGCACTTTCCCCAATGACACGACTGCAAAAGACTCAATTTCTTCGGAACCTCATAGTCAGAATCCGAAATGTACCTGCTGAGAACACCCGCTCACGCCCACTCGCTCAGTCCTGTATCCTCGCAGCCCTGTATCCGTGCAAGCACACCCGCTCACGCGCGCTCTCAGCGCTGTATCCACGCCGTGCGAATGATAAGCACGCCCGCTCACGCACCCGCTCAGGCCTTATTCACGCCTGCTAATCGCGAAGTGCACTCTTTTGCGAGCTCGTGTATCCACCCGCCTGCGTGCTTTTGCTCAGCCATTTTTTGCCTGTCGAAAGGACTGCTGCAGCTTCAGTGATTCTTCGTGGCTGCCTGAAAGCCTGATCCCTAGTGCGTTTAAAGGGCTTCTTCGAAACTCTCCCCGAGGGAATCGTTTTTGTTTTTGTTCTCGTGTTTGCGGGTCGAGGGAGCGTTATTGTTTGTTTTGGTTTCCCCTCAAACCAAGAAACGAAAATATGGCAATTGTTAGTTGGTGGCTTGGATTGATTTGAACCCCAGGCTATTGTCGAGGGTAAATGGGACGCTACCTCCGAATCACCAAACCACCCATACGATGAACTAGAGGGAGCTGATCGATCAAGCCAAAAAAGGTTACCCGAAAAAACGGCGCCAGGGCCGGGATACCTGTGTCAGCGTGGCCAGCACAGGCGGGGTTTCGCGAACCCCGCGCGCCTGGGGCGGAAACAGTGGGGTTTTAAAGGTGGCACCTTTTTTTCAGCTTCATTTCTTGGGGAAAGCAATAGGTAAACTGGTTTTGAGGGGATTGGCGGGCCTTAAGATAGGGACACCCTTCACAAATCACAGGTTGCCTGTTGTTTTCCATTTGACAAAGCCGCAAAAGGGTATCTCTACACATCCACCACCCAAATGTTGGCAACTATCTTCTACATGTGGGCTTGCCGGAGACCTTCACTACATGTGGCATGCAGAGTGCACATGCAGGCCACCGCTGTGGATTTGTGGTGGGTGCACTGATCTGATCACACACCTTTACAGACACATGGGCCATGTTTGGTAGGCTGAGACTCATAACCTTTGCTGCCAGCAATGGAAGGTGGTGGCCGGTGGCCATCTTGGGTAGAGACTCAAAGGCCGTTGCTGCCAGGGTGTTAGGGTGTGCCTCGAAGGAAACTCGACACCTACGGGCGCGAGCAGCAATGCCAGCCGTGGTGCGATTGGGCCGAGGCACGTGCCGGGCCAAAAATACGCCGAAGGTTGAAACAGCCAGGGTGTTAGTGACACAGACACAACAGCACGTGTGAGTAAGAAAGCAACATGCTTGAACAAAAGGGAAAAACACATGCACTTTGTAGATGAACTTCAAAGTGCAGGAGAAAAAATAGCACCGCTTCTCGTGTGTTTCTATTCTACAGGGTCGTAAATATGATTGGATGTCTCTGTGTTGTGTTCACTTCTGGATGCACAAATGTTCTTTATCGTGTCTCACATATGCATATTCCTTCTTGTGCTTTTCACAGTCAGATCTGTCTCGGCATGCCCAACACAAAGAGAGAAGACTGGACTCAGCCTTCGCGAAGTGCAATTGGCCTGAGGCTGGATCACTCCCACCCTTTAAAAATACAAAGATGCAGTTGTGCGGCAAAACAGTGGCACGCTCGCATGGTGCGGAATATGTTTCGGTGGCGTGGTGCTGCATGCATGTTGATGGTCTTGAAAGTTCCTCAGTGCTTGGCAATTGTATCTTTGCGAGCCCAGCCCTTTTGTTGCGATCAGATAGGCTGTCTGAAGTATAGCGCTTGTACGCCAGTGACGAGGAATCCATCACTGCTCTTTGCCTCTCTTCCGCTTTGGCTGGTAAAAATGGCTCCGCAGTACGGCGGTGCAAAAGACAACTGGCCGGCCAGTGGGAGCCACCAAATTCGCCCGTTCCCAAAACCGCCGCCGCACCCTGCGCGCCAGATTTGGAATCTCTCCCCCGGTCTCCCTCCAGGACAGTGAGCGATGAAACCAGACATTCTTTGCGTGGGGTTGCTTGTAGGGAATCCCCAACTGGTTTGATTCCCTTTGGCTTCCTTTTAGAAGCCAAAGAATTTGCATGTCAAGCTGGCCAGCGATTCTCTGATGCCATCAGTTGCCAAGAGGCACCCGCAGGGGGATGACCTAGTTTTTCGGGAAGGCGCCCGGTCAAAAAAGAACCAATCCCTCACCCCCAATCTGCGAGCAATCTGTTCAAGTGCTCACTGACGGTCTTTTGGAACTGGTGAGCGTGCAAAGGAACACGTCCTGCGGGCTTGCGCACTGGAGTTTCTGATGCTTCTGGTGCTTCGAAGAGTAGAATCGTCAGTTCGGGGTGATGAATTGGATGTAAAGAAGCAAGCTGGAGGTAGGGTAAGCAGACCTGCCAAACTCTAAGGGTGGTAGAGAAATGAGTTGGTTTCATTTGCTTGTCTTGCCATCAGGAATCAGGGGCTAACTTGTTTTGTCTTCGGTTGGCACTTTGAAGAATGTCTGTGGCAGTAGAAGAGGTGGGGGAGGTACTGTTGCAATGTTTGCCTCCCTTTGTCTCGCTTAGCCTGACCTTTTCATTGGTTTTGCGAATCCTCGTTGAGATTTGCTCATCACGTGTCGAATCCTTTTCGGAGTTGGCAGGTTTGCCAACTGACCTTTCACTTCTAGACTCTTCCATCAAACAGGGTTGCGACGTCACGTTTAGGGAGGTTCCCTATAGGGGGGATGGTCTTTTCAGAAGCCGAAAGGAAACCCGGAATCCATTTTTTATGGGTTCCCCGACTTCAAAACACCCCTTCCTTACTTCCGGGTGCAACATGGGTTGGCTTCGGTTTTCCTGGCATTCCTGAAAACCAAAGGGCTACCCTCATCTTATCTTGTTTTAGACATCTCCCCCCCAAAAAAAAAACAACCCACCCCGCAACCCCCCCCCCCCCAACCCCCACCCCCCCTCATTTGTTTTCTTCACCCAACGCGAACTCCAGGAGCCTTCGGAGGCAGAGCTTGCCATCAGCGATCAGCTGAAGAAGGACGGGCGCCGCCTTTTAGAAGCTGGTGCTATGAAAGCCCATGCAGAGCAAGAGACACGAGAGCACACCTCGAGCGCACATGCAGAGCAAATTGCACGAGCTCACGTTCACAAGACAACTTGCGCGAGAGCTTAACATGATTATTTTCAGGCGGCGCGGGGATCAAGATGACACCCTGTGGGGATGGGCGTAGTTGATGCGTAGCAAATGAGGACTGGTTCTACTTTTTGGGCGCGCGCGCGCGCGCGACTCTCTGCGGGGATTGGCGTAGACTTGCTCGACTTTTTGGGGCGCACGCACACCAATCTCCGACCCTCTGTGGAAATTGGGGTGGTCCACGAGTAAAAAGAAGGCGTTGTTGTTTCTACTTTTTGGGGTGCGCGCACGCGACCCTCTGGCAATGAGAACATGTTCGGCTTGCTGACTTGGGCGGACGGCCCTCGGGGATTGGCGTGGTCCAGGTCAAAACTCCCGGCACTTGCTATTTTTTTGCGGCACGCGTGCGACCCATCGGCTTGGTCGAGGGTCGTGGCACGCGCGCGCGACCCTCTGCGTAATGGCGTGGCCGAGCCTGGTTTTTGCTACTTTGTTTGTGTGTGTGTGTGCGTCTTGCGCGCGGCCCTTTGCAGCAGCCTGGAAGCTCAGGCATTCTTAAGCTGATAGGCCTTGCTGTGGTTTAATGCACTGTTAGGGGATCGCAATTCCGGCCCAATCAAAGCGTTTATCTAATTTCCGGTCGATGTGTCCTCAATCCCGCAGAGCTGCCACCTACAACTACGTTCTCCCACAGACCACCTTCTTTCTGGAAACCCCTTTAGGTTTGACCTTCTGGTTATGGTATATTATATTAATCCGACACTGACACTTGCCTTAGCCACACATGCAGCCGCAAAATGCCCAAATCCTTCCCAAAGCTCGGGCAAGCTGCTCCGCTTAGCTGCCTGCCACTTCACGCGTGTTCCGCATGACGCTGAACCGCACGCGGCTCCACAATGGCATGTGCAACCACGGGTGGCCGAAAGCATCACATAGAGTGAGCATGGATTTCAATCATCTGCGCAGCAGCTTTGGGTGTTCGGCACCCTAGAGCTTGCAGCGCGTTTGGCGGCGAAAGATGCCGAAATGTTGCTGCGGTCTCGCTCCAACATCTTGAGTGCCCCGCAAGGCGGCTCCATGGCCGCGTGGCAAGTCTTGCCAGAAGACGCTGAGTGATGGCGGTTGCTGCTCATGCCGTGCGCCACAATGAGCCACGCACGCGGCAGAGCCGATGTTGTGCGGGAAAGCGGTTCTGCCGAGCGCGCCGTGCCGATAAGGGCTGGTCTCCAAGGCCCGCGTCAGATGTTTAAACTGAGCGGTAGAAGAGAAAGAGAAAGAGCAAGCGACAGCGACAGAGAAGAAGAAACAGAAAGAGCAAGAGCAAAAGAGAAAGAGAAAAAAAAGAGACAGAGAAAGAGAGAACAAGAGAACAAGAAAGAAAAGCATAGCTCTTATATTTTTGAATCTTCCGCACCGGATTCGCCGGCCCTACTGGCAATACTACATTGTGTGCGCAAACCTGCGTATATATCCATTCCATATATATATATATATGTGCACATATATATATATATATATGTATATTCATGTCAGCCAATCTCCTGCAGTTCACATCAGCCTACGCAGATCAGTCCGCATGTACGAAGCAGGCCTTGACTTAACCCAAAGGAGCCGCGATGTGTGTTCGAGGGGGAAAGTGAGTCTCGACATGTATGTATCTCTTGATTGATGAGTTTACATGTTTTATTGCTTGCATGCATATATATATAATATATATATATATATATTATACATATTTATGGACCACCAGGGTGGTATGCTTAGGGTGGAAGCTGGCACTGTTGGAAAGCGACCTTTTCTGTTGTGGAAGGTTCAAATCGCACATGTTAATTCAAAGATTTGCGAACTGAGTTGTCAACAAAATCAATCCATGCATACAGCCAGATGGATTTTGCGTGCTTTCCTTGCAGTGTCCCAGAGAAAAATCAGATCCCCCAATCACGGAAGCTGGCAGGAAGGTGTTGGAAGTCGAGTTTTTTTGTAAGCCCCCCGAAACGTGCAAATCCATTGGAAGGAGACTAGGTCCCCCAGTAGTGCCCTTTTCCCCCTTTTTTTGGGGAGGGTTCCCCTACTAAGATAGACTACAGAAAAGAATCGGATACCATTATTCTAACCTCTCAAATCTGGAGGACCTGGGAGATGGAATGCTTGGGACAGAGAATTTTTCTAGGCCCTCGCAGGACCTAGAGGTGGACTTCCCCCGAGAGACGGAGCAAGGCCTCAGGAAGCGCGAGACGGTGCTGGAGGAGCGGGGCGGAAGGGTTCAATCATCGCCTTCCTTGGTGGTTCCCAGCCATCCCTTTAGCTTTTTAACTGTTTGGGGATGTCCATTGAACCCACTAATCATGGGTTTTGGCTGCTATGTTTCCCCTTGAAAGGTGGTTGCAAGCGTCAGTTTTTGGGACAGCCTGGAGTGAGGCTCTTATTGGTGAGGTATTGTTGGAAAGGGCAAGACTTGCCACCAAAAATGGTCACTACCATGTAAAGAGGGCACTCTGATTTTCCATGGTCTCATCAAAAGCAAGCCAACCATTCAGGATTCAGCTGGCTTAAGCAAATCCGTTCCCATTTTGCGCTGTCGGAGTTGGTGCGACCTCGGACAATGACAAAGACATATGGCTCCGTGGGGCTTTGACCGAGGCGTGGTAAAGCTCAATAGCTAGGTCCCCCGGTAGTGCCCTTTTACCCTTTTTTGGGGGAGGGTTCCCCTGCTAAAATAGACTACAGAAAAAGGGTACCCTTATTCTAACCTCTCTACTGGAGGACCTAGAAAGGCTTGCAATGCTTTCTTGAGAAGCCTTTCTTCAATGCATTTCAAGGATTCTGCTTGGAGGGTCAGACGCTAAAAACTAGTGTCACTGACCTTGAGCAAAAGCCAAGCATGCCATAGTAAGGTTGATTTTGTATTTCAATCCGGCAAGTGTGGCCTTTATGCATCAGTCCCACTTATGTGTGACAATTTTTGGACTGGTTTGGGCTGCCAGGGAAACACAGCATGGATCGAGCATCTCTCTTCTGGAAACCCTCAAGCAGTTTTTTTCAAGGGAACCCGCCAAGCATTTTGGCTGGTCACAAAAAGGGTAGCCGCAAAAAGCCTGCGGTCCAATTCCTGGTTTAACTTTGATCCATACCCAATTCGTCAACCGAAATTGGATTTGATTTGAACCCCTGGTTCTTGTAGAGGGTAACCGCCAACCACCCCCAATTTGGCTCCAAACCAAGCCAGGAAGGAAGCTGAAATCGGACAGAAATCGTCCCGACAGGAGCTCCAGCGAATTGTTTCCGAATGGATCTTGGAGGAAGGAAGAAGCCAAGGAGCAGTCGGGGAGGAAGCCGAGAGATCGGGGGGAAGAGCTCCTATAGGGCAAGACAAAAACCCAATGGCCAAGTTGAGTATCAGTAGGTTCTACTTTGGGATGACTGTGATTTCATCTATCCTTTTGTAGCTATGGTAGAACCAAAAGCCGATGGGTGTTGGGTGCTGATCATTGTTGCTTTTCAGTTTCCAAAATTCAGAGAGTTGCCCAGCAATGGCCACGGCGGCTTAGCAAGTGTTGCAAGCTGATGGTAGGGGAAGTGTGTCTTCCACATCGTGGAGAGGCGCATCTGGCTGCGACTGACAAACAAACGGACTATCCTTGCTTCATGCCATTCCCAGTGATTGTCTGAATTCCTGTGACTCAGGGCCGACAGGAAGCGAGCACCTGGTTTGTTATGGTAGATGCATCATGGAGCCCAATATTGCTCAAACAAGGTACCCCAAAGTCTTCTAAGAGGGGGCTCATGGGAACTGAAGATATAGCGTTTTGTTTGGGGAAAAGTCCCACCTGTCTACCTGACCAGTTGCAAATACACCAGTTACAAGCCACCACAAGGAGAAGTGAGAGGGACAGATGCGACCTTTGTAAACCACATTGTCACGGTGAGCTGGTTGGCGAGTTAGAATATTCTGGTGTGCTCGGTATCCTGGGTAGGTTAAATGGTCAGTTGGCTGGCCAGATGGTCCAGGGCTCGGAGTGCGAGCATTTCTGTTTACCTCGAACGATCACGGAGTTTGTTGCTTCTCGTCGTTTGTTGCTTTGCTGTGGCTAGTTTGCAATGGTTGGCCGCGGAGCCATTGGTGACTTGGTTGCTTTGTTGCTTCATTTCAGACACAACTCGCTCAGCTGGCTTCATGGTCACTTTGATGGCTCGCCTAGCCGGTTGGCTTGGTTCTTGCTTCCTGGGTTGCTCGGTTGTAGCCTGCTGTATTGATTCTGTTGCTGAGTTCTTTGTTCCGAGGTTGCGGCAGCCAGCTGGAGAGTCCACCACATTTTGCGACTTGATTCCAGGCTCACGGTGCTTTGAGGCAACACCACGGATTTCTTCAACGCCTGCGGTGCCATGGAGCTGCGGCTGTTTGAGACAGCCTAAGCTCTGGGTTCCTTGGGCTCCCTTTGGGCCGCCTTCGCCGAGATCAGGGGCCTGGAGAATGAGAAGTGGGTTCTCTACTTCAAGACCTCACTTCAAAAGTTATAGAAAACTAGAAATGATTCAGGCCCTCGGCTGCAGCAAGTTGCTGTCAGCACAAGATGGGACTGTTGAGGTGGAGTTTCGTGACAGGAATGGATGACGCGGCGGCGATTGGCAAGATCGTGACCTTGGGGTCCTACCGGCTGCCTGTCTATGGCTTGCGACGCCGGGTTCATGTGGTGGTCAAGAAAGTGAGCCGTTTGATTTTGCGCCACCTGTAGCTGCAACAAGCGAATTGCATGGCAAAGGCAAATCCTGAGGCCAAGTTAAAAGCACCTTGCGGTGTGGAATCACATTCCCACTTTGAAAGCAGCATAGTTGCCTCCTGATGAGCACTGGGGGAACTTGTGCAGCTTTGTCATCCATGTGTGATCGGCACTGACGTATTTGTTAAGTTTGGAGACAAGTGGAAGTCGCATGGAATCCCTACTCCTGGCGGCCATGTTGAAGCGTGTCAATGTCGTGCTTGTTCATGCTCTCAAGACAGTGCACTGTTCAATGCGGGTTGCATCTCGAGGTAGATAATTCAACGTGGGCTCGGTGATGAACGCTGAATCACCCCGTAGCAAAGTCACGTTCTGGTGTCTTTCTGCCCGAGACTGGGCTGTTCGAGGTTGAAGTGTGTGAGCTTCGGCCTTTCTTACAGGGCTGCGCGCACACGGCTATGAATTTCTATCAGGGACCCTTTGGTGGACATCATTTGAGGATTCATGTCCACCAGTCACTTACTCAGTAGTGCCCTTTTACCCTTTTCTTGGGGAGGGGTCCCCTACTAAAATAGACTAGAGAAAAAAGGGTACCCTTATTCCAACCTCTCTACTGGAGGACCTAGAAAGGCTTGCAATGCTTTCTTGAAGGGCCTTTCTTCAATGCATTTCAAGGATTCTGCTTGGGGTTTCCCCCATCAAATTCCAAGGCCTCATCCTTCGACCCAGGCTTGGGGTTCTGCAGCCGGGCAGCGACATGGACACTTTGTGCATCGCGCCGCCCCATGTGACACGGGAGGCGGGCAATGCGGGCAACGGCCAAGGGGGCCCTTGGCTTTGGTTCAGAATCATATGGGTTAAAATTAACCCACCAGGAATTGGACCGCAGGTTTTAGTCCTTGGTTCCATGTACCAGGGCTCCATTTAGGGTACCTATTTTTGACCCACAGCCAAATGGCCGAGACCCGAAGTTTCTGTCTGGTTTGGCGTGCTTGGCGTCGTGACGCTTGAAAAACCATTGGTGGTCCGCGGTTTGGTCCGAAGTTTGGTTCCAGAGCTCAGTGGATCCGCATGGAGCGGGTGAAAGGCCGCGAAAGTCAGGCCTTTTTCACCTCCTTCCTGGGGAAGCTGGAGCAAAATCACCAGGTCTCAGATTGTGTGCCCATCCCTGGCGCGCGGGGACCCTCAAAGACTTTCGAGTCTCGGAGTCTCGGAGTGCGGATTGCACGGGCTGGCAAGGGGCCATGCACTATATGCATGTATCTTATTTGTGCATGTTGACATGTGATATTTATATATATATATATATGTATAGATATACATATATATATATACATGTGAATAGAACATACAACATGTTATATATATATATGCATGCATTGCAGATCTCAAATCACTGTGACAGGTTTGAAGGAGCCAATGACCTTGTCGCATTCAAAGAGAGCTCGGGAGTCCATCGCACTCGCTTTGAAGCCGTTGGGTTTGTCTCTAACTCGGGGAGCCCAAACCTGAGGTTTTCCTGTGGTGGCCCGTTCAAAGCACCAAAAAACGGGTTCCCTGAGAAAAATACTCACCCAGTTGAGGGGTGCCCAGTCAAAGCATTTGAAGGGAAGGTACAAATGCACAGATCTGCAGACAACCTGAGCCCAGGCACGGATACAAACTTCTGATCACTGCGCGCACCAACACTGTGGCAACCAATCAATCAGCAATGGGAACTCCATAAATCCGTCCGAAACTGAGCGCGTTGTACCCGAGCGAGCCTTGAGTTCAAAGGCTCGACCAAACATTTGTTCCACCCTTGTTTGGAGTGATTGGTTCTCACTCGAACATCTCAAGGTCTGCAGCACGTGCTTTTCTTTTTGAAAGAAATGTAGCTCGGGAAAGGCTGAGCGAAGATGGCAGTCGGGACCCCCCTTTCGAGAGAATCGCCATGATTGGTATGAAGCACTTGAAGGCGGTCACAACAAGTTCTAGGTCCCCCAGTAGTGCCCTTTTACCCTTTTGGGGGAGGGTTCCCCTACTAAAATAGACTACGGACAAAAAAGGGGGAAAAAAAAGAAGAATAAAAAAAAGGAAGAAAACAACGGATACCCTTATTCCAAGCTCTCTACTGGAGGACCTAGAGTTTGAAGGGCTGCATCCCTTTTTGCCGCAACATGCCCGGAGTCGAACGTGCTGATCCGGCCAAGGTACACGCCCATCATCAAGCTGAAGCTGAGAGGAGTCCTCGTCTCAGCCAGACAGCGGCTCTCCGTTCAGCCGTAGACAGCGGCTGGTGCGTTCTCGGCAGGCAAAGAGAATCTTCACTGTTCTTGGATCATGTTTTTTGGTTTTTTAGTTGTTTGGTTCTGTTCATTTTTACTGGGGTCTGCAAAAAACAAAGTTTTTCGCTACCATACCAAGAGTAGAGATGGAAGTGGAATGACCCCCATAAACCATCCAAGTGCTGATGTCCTTGAAGGGAATCCCCAGGTCCGTGCCCTCGCTCCCCGCAGAGCACCAGCAAGTTGTTTGAGGTATGCGTATGCTCCAGCTGTTTCGCGGAACACGTCATATCACTTGCGTGTAGGTCATTGGGGGCGGGGGGGGGGGGGACGGGGGTGATGGATTGACACGGCGCTGGAGCATCACGAAGATGCCATCAACCGATGCATCGCAGTCAAGTGTTGATCACAGTCCCATGCCTCGTTTCGTGCGAGTGAGAGTTTGGCAAAAGGTGTGATCATTCTGCGACTACCTGCAGACTAGTGTATCCCTTCACGACAATGGGATTCCGGAATCTGATTTAATGTACATGTCAATACAGATATGGATCCGGTTTTTCAATACAATACACATTCGTGCATTGCCTACATGCGCCCGTTTTGCGAATGCAATTGCAGTTCACATTGAGGGTATTTGGCAGCGAAATTGCGGAACCTGGCAATTTCACGAAACATGGTGGACAACATATTCCATATTAGGCCTCACGTCATGTCTTGGCACGTGGTGAGCAATGCAGAATTACAGTGGCGAATTCAGCGCAAGCCAGATGACAGTGTGTTGCAAAGGAATGACATGTCAGTATGCCGATTCAAATCGCTTGGCAACAGCATTGCTTCACATGCTTGTTGGTCCTTGGCGTCAACGCCATGGGCTGTGGATACGCGCAGTGCAGGCTGAGCGCTGCCCATGAAAGCTCCTCTATGCAGTTTGTTTGTTTTTTTCAGGATATACACTGCACGACAGGGAAACATGCCCTTGTTGTCACCGACTATATCCAGTATCCAAGACCCAAGCGGCCTTTTTTTCCCAGGTGTGGTGACTCCAGACATCAAAGTCAAGATTGTGGAGTATCGAAACGTTTACATCAGCTTTAGCAAGACCTTTTTGGCTTGTGTAGCCGAATTGGTTTGGGCAGTCTGCTAGTTGCTGCTTTCCAAGATGTCATATTTTTAGGTCTTTGCAGGGTCAAGGCTTTCCGGCTGCTTGATGAGCAGAATCTATGTCAGCTCGAAAGATGTTTGGGCTTGACGACCCAGGTGAGCATCGACCTGCTCTTTGCGCGGCTTGTGAGGACTGCAAAGGTTTGTCAGGTGGCAAGCATAGATCTGGGAGGTGAGGTGTTTTCTGAGCCTCTTTGGAATGTTGGTCACATCAGTGCTTGAAGCCGTGTCAAGAGAGATAGAAAAGGCTACCAGTGTTCTGGATGTCAATTATCCTGCGGTCAAGCTTGATCCGCCACTTGCTATCCTGTCACGTTAGCGTCTTTGTGGGTACGTGGCGGGACATTGGTCCGCGGCTGGCTTTGCGTCAGCATCGTAAACACGTTGCTCTCACCCATGCGCGGTGGCCAGGGTTTTTATCACATGCATGAGAGGCCTTGCTTCGGAGGTACTGGCACCGAGGGCACAACGCAAGTTGTGTCGCCAACGGCAAGGAAGAACACCAAGCTGCGACGCCGGGTCTGAGTTTTGCTCGGCTGCTACGAAGGAGATTCTAATGTGAAATGGAGTACAGGCCTCTCGCATTTGAATCATGTGCAGACTTGAGGTTTCATGACCAGAGCCACATGGCTCCGGGCGGGAGCCCCCGCATGCGTAGCAAAATAGGCCGCTGACGAGCAAGTGGTAGCGGAGCCCTCGGCGGTGATCCGGGGGTGCGCCATGGCCGAAGGGTCGGAGAAGGCGGAGAACAAGGGCTTCTCGAAGGAGGCTCCGCCGCCTAGTTGGGATGGTGGGTCGCCTCACCAGGAGTTTGAGCGCTTCGAGCGCGACGTGAAGTTGTGGGAGTTCGAGACGGAGGTGGAGCTGAAAAAGAGAGGTGCCAGGCTCTTGAGGGGTCTTTCAGGTCCAGCACGAGCAGTCGCCGATGCGCTGGAATTCGACAAGATTGCATGTGAGGAAGGGCTGAACAACATCATGAAAGCCTTGAGGGAGCACTACAAACCTCACTTGGAGGTGAGTCTGGCGAGAGCCTTGGAGCAGGCCATCTACGGGCAGGCGCGGCAGAGCAAGGAGGACTTTCAGGAGTACCTCATCAGGATGGAGAAGGAGTTTGCTCGTCTTAGCAAGGAAGGCGTCAAGCTGCCGAGTCAGGCACAGGGCTACATCTACTACCGGCAGGCCTCGCTGACCGAGAACCAGGAGATGAAGCTCACCACATGGACCAATAACAGTTTCGAGCTGGGCCAAGTGGTTGGTGCGCTCAGGAAGCTCGACAAGGTGATAAAGGATGACAAGGGCAAGGCGAGGCTGTATAACGAGACTTTTGCCGAGTTCGAGGCGACTGAGGAACCGGTGGGTGGCTTGGAGAGCGAGGAGTACAGCCAGAGCGACGAGGAGTATGTGTACCTTGAAGAAGGAGCGCTTCAGAACGTTTATGAAGAGGACGAGGTGAACATGGCTCTCACCACCTACAAGGAGGTGCGGGAGGCGATCAACGCTCAACAAAAGGGGCGGCAGTACTACAAGCCAGTCTTTGGGAAAGGGCGCGGGGGCTCCTCAAAAGGAAAGAGCAAAGGCAAAGGACTCCAGCGCGTCCACATCGAGCAGATCAAATTGCGGACCCGCTGTGCAAGGTGTGGCAACATAGGCCATTGGGCCCGGGAGTGCCGAGCGGCCCCAGACAAGCGCGGCTTGGAGAACCAGGCCAAGATGCAGGCTGGAGGTGGCCCACCTTCGAGCACGGGAACTGTCAACACGGGATCTAGCCGGAGCTGGTTTTGCGCAGTTGGAGACGAACACGATGCGGGAGGACAGCCGGGGCATTCGGTTTTCAGTAGTTGTTTGATGACTGGGGGAACAGTCAACGAATTTTTCGGTGGGACATCGCAGGCCGAAGCAGCGCAAATGTGGAGGCCAGTGGGTGAATGCAAGCCTGAGGTTGAATCTCCATGTGCGGTTGAGAAGGGGAATTCATCGTGCGCGATGAGACAACATGGACAATCAGATGGGGACGATTGTTTTTGCGGGATTACAACTCAACCAGCGCAGGGAGTGGTAGACACTGCTGCACAGGATGGTCTTTTGGGCGAGAGAGCTTTGGCCAGTTTGCAGTGTGCATTGGACAAGCATGGACTTCGATGCGTGTGGACCGGCAAACAAGGACGTGCTCAGGGTGTTGGAGGCAAAGCTCATGTTTTAGGGATCGTGGCAATACCTCTGGGATTAGCTGGTACAACGGGGGTTCTTGAGGCAACCGTCGTGAAGGAGTCGGTCCCACTTCTTTTGCCGATCAAGTTGCTTCGTCAGATTGGGGCAACCATCAATCTCGTGACCATGACCCTTGAACTGCAAATCAATGGGCGAACATTGGAACTCCATGAACTTCCAAGCGGACATGTGACAGTCGATGTGCTTGATTTTGGTCCTGGAGGCTTCAAGGTTCCAGACACAGCAGTGGGCTACCGGGACTCAGATTTCCGGATTGTGAATCCCGGAGTATTTCTGGGCACAAGCCTCATGCCCGGAAAGCGACCCAATTCGATTCCTCCCGAGAGCAATGCCGTTGACCTTGGTGGGCAAGATCAAGGAATCGAGGCTCACTCCGGCGGCAAGGCAAGACGTCTCCGAGAAGAAGGACGTTCACTACCACAACCCACGACGAGCTCTACGGGGATGGGGAGTGATGATGGACCGATACATCGACTTGGTCCTGCGTTGAACATGGTGGATCTGGGCATCGAAGTGGTGGAGAACAAGGAGCCGCAGACCGTGTTCAGGGCGTTGTGGAGAACGTGGTTCCGGACCTTTGGCGTCCCTGAGTATCTCACGGTGGATGAGGGCACGGAGTTCAAAGCAGAGTTTAGCAAGCTATGTGCTGACGCTGGGATAGTGGTCTTCAAGACGGCAAGCAAAGCTCCATGGATGCAGGGACGAGTCGAACGACATGGAGGTCTCTACAAGACGATGTTGGCTCACGCGAGGGAGTCAATGCCACCAGGGAGTCACGCAGAGCTTCTGAGGAGATCGAGGCTGCAAAGAACAGGTTTAGCAATCGATCTGGCTTCAGAGGCAAGTTGGACAGTGGCCCAGAGTGCCTTCATCTATGATGAGCGACGAAGCTATCGATCCCACTTTGCAGTCGCAGAACAACTCCGATGATTACATCAAGATGCTTCAGATGAGGGAGGTGGCTCAAGAAGCATTCGTCAAGGCGAACTCGCGCGATGCTGCAAGTCGTGCTATGAGGGCGAGGCCACGGACCCAGAGAAGCTGGAAGCCTGGAGATCTTGTGTATGTGTATCGGATCTTGAGAGAAAGGCGAAGGGTTGACGGCGGAGGAGGCCGTATCACCCGCAAGGCAGTGTGGACCGGGCCAGGCACCGTGTTGAGCATGGAAGGAGCAGTGGTTTGGATCAACATGATGGGGGAGCTTTGGCGTACTGCCCAGGAACAGGTCCGGGATGCAACACAAGAGGAACGGCTGGGAGCAGAGGTAGTGGCAGAGTCATTCCAGGAGATGCAAGAGCGGTTGAGGCGGAATCCTCATCGACCTGAATACCGCGATGTGACGCGCGATGTGCCGGAAGAGGAACCCTGGGAGGTAGAAGCTCGAGCACAAGCAGGTGCACCTGGAGAAATGGATGAGGAGCTCGAAGTGGCGGACGCTGGAGATGATCCTGCACATCATGAGGGGCAAGAACGTGGACAGCCCCGACGGCGACTTGAAGAAGATGTTCAGCCAGAGCTTCCACCAGTCCCGGAGGACATGGAAGGCGAGGAGAATGCGCAGAGTGAGGAATCCAAATCGCAACCAGAACCGGAGGCAGAGGAAACCGGAGCTCGGGCGCGGTTGGAGAAGGAGGCATCGGAGATGAATGATGCGATGGACGGGATACCGTCTACCGGAAGCAGTGGGCCCCATCGATCCGAACGAGGTGCAAGGTGGAGAACGCATTTGGCAGCCCCCTACTTCAATGAGGTGTTCTTTGGCATGGAGGAGGAGATCCAGGCGGAGAGCATCGAGCCCGGGGAAGACTACTGGGTGTATGACGCTCTCAGAGGTGTCCTGCAGCGACACCATGTGCGAGAAAGGAAGGCCAGATTTAAGCCAACAGGTGTGAAGCAGTGTCCGATTCCTCTTCGATCAATCTTCAAGGAAAGGAAGTCCTTCATGAAGTTCGTTGATGGAACCGAGCGCATGGAGGAGGACCAATGGAGCTGGCTGGACGACAAGCGGCCTACGCGAAATTGGTGGAAAGGGTACACCGAGTTCAAGGTGGACCAGGAGCAAGTGGCGGTGAATCAGACCTTTACTACAGCAGGAAAGAGACGTGGAGATGGAGAAATCTACGACCACGAGATCCCGGAGGGCAAGAGAGCGGAGTGGAATTGCGCGGACAAGGAGGAGTGGCAAAAGATTGTGGAGAGCGGCGCGGTCAAGGTTCTCTTTGTGGAGGAGTCGCGGAAGGTGACGAAGGAGCTGGAGGCTCGGGGAGAACTTGGACGCATACTGCCGACAAGAATGGTGAGGCGCTACAAGCCATCGGAAGAGGTTGGAGTGCCTGCGTCAAGAAAGAGCCGATGGTGTGTGCGAGGGGATAAGGATCCAGACATCCTGGAGTTGCAGCGGTTTGCGCCGACGGTGGCAACTTCATCTCTGCACCTGGCAATGCAGCCGGCGGTCAATCATGACCTGGAGTTCAAGATCGGAGATCTCAAGAGTGCCTTCACGCAGTCAATGCCTTTGATTCGAAGGCGTGGCAAGCTGTACTGCAGGCAGTGTCGAGGGGGGCACAACGACCTGAAGGAGGAGCAGCTGGTGGAGATTGTTCTCGGGTGCTATGGTTTGCCGGATGCGCCTTTGCACTGGAGGCGGACTTTGAGACGCTACCTGATCGGTACCCTGGGATATAAGCCTTCAAGGATGGATCCTTGCATGTTCCTACTTCATGTGCAAGGTCTTCTCAAGGGGATCGTCCTGGTGGAGGTCGACGACCTGTTGCTCATGGGCAAAGATGAGCATCATGAGCGGGTGAAGAGGTTGCAGGAGCGATTCAGGTTTGGGAAGCTCAAGGACGTGGATGCGAAAGGAGTGGGCTTCAATGGCAGGAGGATCAGAATGGAGCACGGGGTTGTGAAGATCGACATGGAGAAGTTTGTGCGAGAAAGGCTCAGCGAGATGAACATCGAGAAAGAGCGGAAGAAGCATCCTGGAGCTCTACTACAGGTGGAGGAAACGGCAGCGGCTAGGAGTGTGTGTGGTGCTTTGAATTGGATTGGAAAGGAGGGACGTCCCGATGCTGCGGCAGCAGCATCCCTCTTTTCATCCAAGCTCAAGAAGATGACCATTGCCGATGTCATCGATATGAACAAGGCAGTGCGCAAGATCAAGGACAACCCCACTTTGTCTTTGCAGATCCAGAAGCTGGAGAATATGCGGTGGGGTGTGGTAACGGATGCTAGCTGGGCCAATACCACGGAGAACCGCTCGCAGGGTGGCCACGTGGTGATTACCTTCAACAAAGAGCTGATGAGTGGAAAGCGGGCCAAGACGAACATTCTGATGTGGAAGAGTGGCAAGCTGCCTCGAGTCGTTGGGTCTACGCTGGCCGCAGAGACTCAATCATTGGCTCGCGGTGTGGGGGAGCTCATCTGGGCCAAGGTGGTGTATTTGGAGATTGTAGATCCCACTTTCGAGTCGGGGGACTGGCAGAATCAGGTGCGCGAGGAAGTATACCTTGCTCTTGCTCGTGAAGACAGTGCAGAGCAGCTGAAAGAGGCATTGGCGGTGGTGGATGCAAAGTCGCTGTTCGACCTGATCAGCCGGGATTCTCATGGAGGTCAGGATCGCCGAACGGCGATGGACATCCAGTTGATCAAGGAGGAGCTGCGAGCATTGCATGGAAGTGTGCGTTGGGTGGAACACTTGGACATGCTGGCGGACAGCCTCACAAAGCGCGACGGGTCCACGGAGAGCTTGGAAGTCTTGGAGTCGGGAGAGTACGGCATCGAGGCTGAGAGCAGTGTTTTGGCCAGGAGGGCTGATTCAAGGGCGAAGAAATTTTGAGGCGCTGTGAAATGGAGTACAGGCCTCTCGCCCTTGAATCATGTGCAGACTTGAGGTTTCATGACCAGAGCCACATGGCTCCGGGCGGGAGCCCCCGCATGCGTAGCAAAATAGGCCGCTGACGAGCATTCGTTCGTCACTAACCACTGTCCAAGGAATGATCCTTACAAGTCTTCTTGGCACATGTGGGAGATGCACTCAATTTGAATGCCACTTGGCCAAGGCAGATGGCGAGTTTGATCCATGTCTTCACCCGACATTCAATTTGGTGTGTTTGTTCTTGAGGGTACATACACTTTCTTGGTGTGGTTTTTCATGGGGAACAAAAAGCAAGCCAACCCCAATTACTTGTGTGTGTGGTTCTGCTTCCGACCTTTGGGCAAGAGATTCGGCCTCTTTCTTGCGCATACCAGCAGAATCCACCAGGACGCTTGAAGATGGCAAAGATGTGGAGGAGGCAGTCAAGGAGCGAAGCAGCAAGCGCAGGTAACTCTATCAGTCGCCTTGTAAACTGATAATCAGCTAGCCGGGGATTTGAACCCCTGGTTCTTGTAGAGGGTAAATGTGCTCCCCTACCCTCCAAGCCACCAAGCCAAACCACCAAGTAGAGGGAAGCAAAAATATAAGTGGGCAACCCGCCAAAAAAACACACCCCAGGTACCCAAAGGTGATCCCCACGTCACTGGTTGTGGTTTCTCAGAGTTCCTCTGCTAGGGAAGGCACTTTGGGTCCACAAGCAAAGTTGTATGGGTCAAATAGGGAGGCATTTGGAAGGAAGCAGAAAGGAGGGTTCCTCGTTGAGTTTCTTTCAACCCCAAACATGATGCCCTGTTTTGAACACGTAATCACGACTCTTCCCCAGAGTTGCCTATTTGGAATCGAAGCACAATTGAACCCTTGTCTGGATTGGGAACTTGCGGGTTGACCAAGTCAACAGCATTCCTTCGCGGGCTCCTGTTGTTGATGGGAGCAGGTCAGATGACTTGAATTGCAAGCATTTCAGCACGCCCTGGTAGATCGGATTCCATTTCCTGCAGGATGACGAGATCCTCCGAGACATGGACGACAAGAGCGTTTGGGCCTCAGTGGATGCTAACCCCCTGCTAGCCTGCTCATTGCGATCCGCGTGGTTTACGATGAGCCCATGTTTCATGGCCTGAAAGCGAGACCAGGCTGCCCAAAAAACAACAGCCCGCCTAATCCTTGCAGCTGGCAAGCACAACTGGAGACACTTGGCGCAGGTACGGTGCATCAACGGGTACCGTGTAGCTGAGCCCCGGATGCATTCGCCATTGCCGAAATTCGGGGCTTGGTACATGGCTTCATGGTGCCGTGCCGGGCTGGCGCATTGATACTGGGTAGTTGTCAAGTTGGACAACCAAAACAATTCTTGCCACTTTTGTTTGCATGTCGCAGGATAGTTCATGGGACATCATGGGATGCTCGCGGAATTGAATCTCGCCCAGCTTGGAGCCGCATTGTCACATGATGTCACATGAATTCACGTCGATGACATACGTTCCAGGCGACGCGGGGAAAGCCCTGTAAGGAGGTCCTGCTACAAATTTAGCATGACGGTTGAATCCCTTCAGTGGAGCCCCGAAGAGGAATTCAGTCGGCAAGAAAGTGTTCTAGAGCAACATCGACTGCGAACAGACTATCACCCGCATCAGTACCAAATACGGACGTGCTCGAAAGGCAACAGCAAAGTTGGTCAACATGGCGGTGCTATTTTTTGTTTAACGCACTGGTTTGACTGGCCACATTCCGTTGGCTGGAAATGATTGAACAACGAAAAATGGTTTTGGCACCTTGTTGCAGTGCAGGTTAACGATGTGGCCTTGCTACAGAATGGCGATATCACCTTCAAACTAGGTTGACGGTTGGCTGATCCATTTGGCCTAGCCACCAAAGGCACATTCTTCGCACGAGCCGTCGCAATTCTGTTTGCAGAGCGGAACCTGTCACGACTTGTGTGCTCATTTTTGATTGCCCTACCAGATGATTGTCCACGAGACGCCATGGGCGTCTCCCATATTAACCGCATGCGCTTGGATTCTCCTGACCTGGCTTTGGCCCCCCAATTTTCAAGGTTTTGGGTCCCTTTCCAAAGTCGAGGTCAGTCCTGAGCGAAAATTCCTGGGCCTTTTCCACCCGCGAAATTTCCGGGGGCTCACCGCAGGTTCCAGGCATCGAGTCTCATCCTAGGTCTCGCAGTAGTGCCCTTTTACCCTTTTTTGGGGGGGCGTTCTCTACTAAAATAGACTACAGGAAAAAGTTGGTACCCTAATTCTAACCTCTCAAATCTGGAGGACCTAGCATCGCTCCGAGGACAAGATCCTGAGCTTGGTGCCGAACCAGGAGAACTTCAGGGAGACTTTGCGCTTTGCGCCTTGCAGAAATGGCGGGGGTCTTCCAAAACTTGGTGGCTCCCAGCCATCCGGTTCCTGAGCTTTTTGGCCTTGAAAGTGTTTAGTGGTAGTTTCCGTATTTCACCCACTAAAAGTGAAGCTTTTAGCGGGGGATCTGAGGGCAGCCCAGAAAAGGGAGAGCTTAGATCGGGTTGCTTGACACCAGAGTGGATAAGCGAATTCCTGTGAATTCTCCTATCTGGATTGAGATATTAGAGCCGTGCTTGCTCTTTGAAGCCCAGCATGTTTTTTGCTTGCAGGGGGCTCAGCATGTTTGTTTCTTGAAGTTTGTTTTGCGTGCATGGTGAATGTCTCAGAGGTCCGGTCTCAGAGTAGCAGAATGAGCATTGGGATTGTTGACCCTCGGCTCGTTGGGTATGATGGGATTTGGCCACCATGCTTTCTGAGAGCTGGGTTTGAATGCTTGTGGGGGCCGCATTTGCCAAAGAAAACCACTTGCCAACTCATGGGTCGACCGGCAGTCCGCGACAGACCGGTTGCCAAGGTGAAATGCTGGGCAAAGAGGCCACGCCTCAAGCGCGTCGCTTTTTTCGTCGCCCCGTGCGGCAAAGAGAAGAGCAGCCCCAAGACTTGAAATGAAAGCTGGACTCTCGGGGGGGCCGGGGTGAAAGCTCTACTGCTCTGGTAGAATGAATTCTGGCATCTATCAATGGAGCCGGGAGCATCTATAGTTGTCAGACTGAGCACACAAGATGTGCCCGCGTTGAGTTCAAATCAGCTGTCAGTATTGTAAACCGCAAAGCGGTAAACATAATTAATGTGTGTGCATGGGTGTCATACTTGCACTTTGAACAGTTCAAGGGTTGCAGCAGAATGATTTCATTGCCTCTACCACATACATGCGCATAACCTTGCAAGAGGAGGGTTCTGGAGACTTGGTTGCTGGCGAGCTATATCTTCTTTGTCTTGGGTATTAAAAGATGGTTGGCTTGGTGTAACCCTCGTCTGCACCCTTCGCTGGGGTTCCCAAGGCAGCCTGGTCCCCGTTCCAATTGGAGCTCAATGTATGAGTGGGTGTGATCCTGTCAGGTTTTACACAGACGGAGCTGCGCGGTTTTTCCGTGCTCAAGAAGCATCGTAAGGAAACCGGAATCACCCTGGGTTGTGTTTAAGTGAAAGCGGCCCCACACCTCGACGCTGAAGTCATTCAAACGTACGCTCCTGGCAGAAAGCCTCGATCTTGCAATGTCAACATGCACTAGGTCCCCAAGTAGTGCCCTTTTACCCTTTTTGCGGGGAGGGTTCCCCTACTAAAATGGACGTCCTGAAAAAAGTTGGTACTTTTATTCTAACCTCAAACTACTGGAGGACCTAGTGTACCTTTCGGAGCAAAGATGCGAAGCATGCGTCAGCTTTTCATAGAAAGACCGGCTCTTGGACGGCTGCAATGCTGCGATGTGCCAGGCGCGGCATCTACTCCAATGCCTTGGGCTGAGTGAGTCGGGAATGACCGAGACCGGGCGGGAATGAACCCCAGGATTCCGTGAAAGGAAGCTATAGGGAATGGTCTATGGGGGTCTGTCCCTCATTCCCTGAGAACCAGCAAGTAGTTGGTGGTTTGGATTGGTTTGAGGATTTGAACGGGAAAGCAGCCACAAACCCACCAATGAGTGGGAAGCTGGTTGACCAGCAGTTTGCGCTTGTTTGAGTTAGTGGTCCGTTGGAGAACATCTAGTTGGGCAGGTCAAGGGAAGCTCCCGCTAAGTGCGAACCACAGCTGCTATGGTCAGTCCTTGTCGAAATCAACATTTACTGTGTGGAATTATGTGGGTCAAGAATAGGTACAAATGGAACCCTGGTAAATGGAAAGAAGAACAAAAACCTGCGGTCCAATTCCTGGCGGTTTAGTTTTGACCCATACCCAGATCAAGCTAAGCTGCACTCCAATGCCAACACTTGATATGGATCGAAGCCTGGCATGCCGGATGGTTTGCAACCACTCATGTCAAGCCATGTCGAGCTTTGTCACGCCATCTGCTGCTGCTGCTAGCCCCAATCGAAACTTTTAATGGAATGTGCTGACAGTACAAGCTTGAGGGTCTGTCCGTGACCTTCAAGAAAGTTAGCAAGTTGATGATGGCTTGAATTTTTCATCTGCCCTCTCCGCTTTGACGCTTTGGACAGCTCCAAACCAACAGCGGCGCACCTGAATGTGCCCAACGATTTTGGTGTGTTCCCACAGGGGGCTGCAATTTCTCCGAATTTCACCTTAGCTTTGAAGACCTGCCCGATACATGTTTCGTTTCCAACCCTGAAAGCACCGTTCACCGGTCATTCGAATCTGAAGTCCAAAGCCCAGAGTTTCCTCAGTCAGTTTGTGCCGAGCGCAAGAGCTGGCCATGAGACGGACTCTGGCCCAAATAGGTCTCAAAATGTGGAGCCTTCCTTGTGAACAAAGAGCTCATCCGATACCAGGTGGACTTTGTGAAATCGGTTGGCCCAAGACCCAACAGCTTCTGAGAGCCCAACCAACCCCCGAGACCCCTCTCGCTAGGTGCTGGGCTTCTTTGGTGGCATCACATGGGCGCTGCTGGTGGCCCGTGTGTGCCCGGGGATCCCATGGGGATAGTCCGGCCATGTTCAACCAGGTACCCTCCCAGCTAACATGGGTTGGTGCACAGACCCCTGTAGAAAGACTACTTTTCCTCTTGGAAAGGGCTTCTTTGCACTTCCATGTTAGGTGGTGGGAGGATAGTCAGGTTGATGTTCAGTCCAGATGCTTCGCAACTTGAAGCACGCCCTATCTGTCTCACGATGTTCATGGGACGCCTTGGATTTCCAACAGACCGGGTGGATACAAATGTTAGCGGCCGGGCCGTGGGTATGCCTGGCAGACAGAGACAGACAGCGACAAACAGAGACAAGGAGGCAAAAAGACACACAGACACACAGAACACAAAGACACAGACACGCAGACACGCAGGCACACCGAAACACAGACACAAAGACACACAGAGACACAGAGACACAGAGACACAGACACACAGACACACAGACACACAGACACACAGACACACAGACACACAGACACACAGACACACAGACACGCAGACACACAGACACACAGACACACAGACACACAGACACACCCACACACACACACACAGAGAGACGTGCGCGCACGATCGCACACACGAACGCACGCACGCAACACAACAAACCTGCATTCGGATGGCTATTTGGCATACATTTGATTGGTGAATGCTATGTTTGAGGAAAGAAAGCATCCCGGGCTCAAAAACTGCTTCAGTACGAGGGGTCACATTGGATGTTTGGATGTGCTTGCACGATGCAATCTAGGAAAGGAACAGACCTTGAATATCAGAGCCACACCCCAGGCAACACGCATGCCGCTCGCAGACGCACAGGTTGCTCCCACAGAAACAAAAGAACGCCAGATGGAAACTGACATTTGGGCACTCACCGTTCCGCACAACCCTAGCGCACCCGCCAGCTGAGGCCAGCTGTATCCCAACTACTGCTTCAGCCAGTTGGTGAATAGGCTGCCCTGCCGCGATAGATCGATCCAGGGTTATACCACGCAAAGGGCAAGCTGCGTCGTTGCTACTTTCTTTCCTTGTCAACAAATGAGATGTCAAACATCAGGTGCGAGCAATGTGGCAACTCTTTGTTTCAGTGCTGGCATGGCTTTGTAGCCCCTGGGGGACATTCAATTGTCCATATCCAAATCATCAGCGAGAGACAATGATGCTGCTAAGTTCCGTGCAGAGGCCTTGGCTCATCTGACGTTCCAAAGGAAGCTACGATGGGTTCAAAGATATTCGCAGACGGCAACTCTGTGCTTGGTTTCCAAAGTTCAAGCTTCACTTTCCGCTCTCGCACTTGTCACCCCTTTGTTTGTCCCCTTTTTGAGCTTTGGCCTATTGAAAGGTCTGATCCTGAGATAGTCGGCGCCCAGCATCATTCTTGGGACTCAACTTGCAGTGCTTCAAGATTCCTTCCGCTTCGCTGCAAGTAGCAAGCCCTGTCTGACACTTCAGCACAATGAGCCTGGGCCAAATGTTGCTTAGGTACATGATATTGTTTACATGTTGTCTGCACTCGTTCAATCATGTGCAACAGCTTTAATCGCGTCTGAGACGACACAAGGGTGTATCCATGGCAGCACACAAGTGTGTCAATGATTTCTATGTATGGTACCGTGCCGAGTCATGGGATGGAGCGAATGGGTGTCAAGAAAAGGATGCTGAGCCCGACTTCAAGCTTGCATACTTGTGCGCTTGATTTGTTGTCTGAACAACGCGTTGCAGCCAAATTTCCCCAGTTCATCACAACACGTTTCGGAAATTGTCATGGATTCAAGTGAGGCACGTTCTCTACACAGCCGCTTGCAACTCTCAAGATGAGTCGTGGACATGCGCGCAGGTTCTTTCGAGTCTTCGACCAGTGGAGTTGGTCGAAGCCTGTGATGCCTGGTGCCCAGGTGCCAGGGTTTGGGAAGGAAGGTCTGGGTGTTGATGTGGGTGCAAGGTAGCGTGTACATGATGAAAGCAGTACTGTAGCGCAAAGCACGTGATAGAATGTTTGTCTTCCCTCCACACTCAGGCAACCATCCCACCACCGAGGTGAAGTTGAGACCATTTGTGAGTGCGATGAACTGGTGACAGGTCTATGGTATTTTTGACAAGTGTTCATGAGATTGCTCCAAAGTTGGACCATGGCATTGTGTATCTACATGCGTAACCCCATGTCAGCAAAAAAAACAGACACATGGCCAGGGGATGGTCCAGTCTATTGGGGGCACAACCACGCACCACACCTGCACTGCTTCTGTCGGATCCGCCAGGCGTCTCACGCCTTGGGCGAACAACTCCGTGGAGTGTTGGTCGGTTTGCCACACCTTGGCCTCCAGTATGAGTGTCACAAAATGTGTTTGTGACGCATGGAGTCATAGCCACATCTGAGTTTATCGCGCACTAGACACTAGCTCGACATGTAAACCACCACTCTCTGGCAAGGTCCCATATTTGGACCGCCCGTGTGTGAATCTTTCCGTGAAAGCCCATGTCTTCGTGGCCATGCAGATTTCACAATGGAACCCACTTTTGGGAGATCATTTTCCCACTTTTGGCATCAAAACACGGACGCCTTTTCCCTAGGTTGTGCGAAATTGTGGAGAGCGTTCCGGGCATCACGGGCTTCAAGGCCTGGTTTTCTCAGCGATTGTTCACAGGAAACGCCAGGGAGAGGGGAAACTTGCTACCTCTGGGTAGCTTGTTTGCTTGCTTGCTGGCTGGCTTGCTTACTTGCTTGGTGTTGTGTGTGTGGGTGTATTTGTTGGTCTGTTTGCTCGCTCGCTCGCTTGCTTGCTGGCTGGCTGGCTGGTTGCCTGGCTCGCTCGCTTGTGTGTCCGCCTGCCTGCCTGCCTGTTTGTCTGCCTGCCTGCCTGCTTGTTTGTCTGACTGTCTGTCTGTCTGTCCGTCCGTCCGTCTGTCTGTCTGTCTTGCGTGCTTGTTGCTTGGTTGCTTGCTTGGTTGCTTGGTTGCTTGGTTGCTTGGTTGCTTGGTTGCTTGGTTGCTTGGTTGCTTGGTTGCTTGGTTGCTTGGTTGCTTGGTTGCTTGGTTGCTTGGTTGCTTGGTTGCTTGGTTGCTTGGTTGCTTGGTTGCTTGGTTGCTTGGTTGCTTGGTTGCTTGGTTGCTTGGTTGCTTGGTTGCTTGGTTGCTTGGTTGGTTGGTTGGTTGGTTGGTTGGTTGGTTTGTGCTTTGTGTTGTTTTCTTTTGTGTTGCTTTGTTCTGTGTTGTGTTGTGTTGTGTTGTGTGTTTGCTTGTTTGCTTGCTTGCTTGCTTGCTTGCTTGTTTGTTTGTTTGTTTGTTTGTTTGTTTGTTTGTTCGTTTTTTGCTTATTCATTTGTTTGCTTGCCCGCCAGGAACATGTGTGGTTGTTTACATGCGACGTGCAGTGGATGCACATCGAATGGACTTGGTTTCGACAAGAACCATCAGGAATCCTCCAAACGGATACGCTTCCATTTCCTCGATGAAAGCGCTTGCGCAACCGACGGGTTGTGCGAGAACCGGGCTTCCCCACACCCCCCACACGGGGGGTCTTTGACATGTTTGACACAGAGTGGGTTGCATCAGACTCAAGAACTGAAGTCCTCCTCGTTCCACTTCCAGTCTGTGCATCCGTTTCAGCCAGCTGTGAGCAGGTATGGAATCCGAAGACGAGCCATGCCGACAAGTGCCTTGTTGGCAAGGTTCAGATGGGGCAGGTGGGGGTGATAACAAAAGTGCTGGCATTGGAAAGGCGGAGGGATGATTGCTCTAACCTGTGGATTTGTTAGATGTGAATTATAGCACGTGTGACTGGCCCAATTTGGCTCGGGAGCTGAGTGTTGATGTACCAAGAATTGCCCAGGCCTTTTTGTTGGTGGCGATGCAGTTCAGTGCTTTTGGCGAGGGGCGCAGACTTGATGTTTTGGTTTAGGGGACCCAGACTTGCCCCAGGTTTCCCTTGAAAGCCATCAAACAAGGGGGGACCCTCAAAACAAGACACACCTTGCGAAAACAAGCGCGAAGGCCCTCGGGTTCCCAATGTCCACTTCAGTCCTCGGCCAAGGGCCAGTTGACAGGCGCAATCCAATCTGAAAAGCTGTGATTGTTCCCCTGGAAAAAAAAGAAGAAAAAAACTGTTACCCTCTAAAATTGAGAACCCAAGCAAAATCGACCAGGGGACCACGCGTCAAAATTCCATAGTCCTACTGCTCGTACTGGAGTCCTGCAGGAGAAGCTGACATTTGCATGGCTGCTGTGTAATCCAATACCTTGAATGGCTTCGCGCTACTTAAGTCATGCTTGTCGCTGGACTTTGTCCAGTAGACCGTGTTTAATTCGGGGGAGTGCCACGTGTTCCAAAACAACTTTAGTCTAGCCGAATCTTCAACTCATTAACTTGCACATCCAGAGTTCAATCACACCCCGCAAATCCACCAAGAAGCGGCACAAACGTGTTCGCCACTGGCCAGGAGGTTGATTCCCCTGGCCCCGTTCCCTACGCTTTCGGGACGGAACTCGGGACCAACACAAGCGAGATACCAGAGATGCGTCCTCCCTGGCGTCAAGACCATGTTGAGGTCCCTGTGGAGAATTTCCAAAACCAAATGGGCCACTCGCCGGTATAGCCTGAGCAGTTCGAAGTGTTTTGTCTATCCAAATTGCATGATGGGAGACTAGTGTTACATACCCTCCATGGAAGTCCCGGGGTTCCCCCTGAAGACGCAAGTTTTCGCTTGCTGGTTCCTGTGACGATCTCTGCATTTGCGAGTCACGTGACTCGTTGAGGCAGCACCTGATGCCGGTCATCACCCCGGCCTTCCCCGCCATGAACTCCACGTGCCTTGGCATCGGGGCATCCAATCGACCTACCATCGGTGCCTTTGCATTTGAATACGAGGCCTTGATCAATAGATCAATATGGCTGTGGCTCAAAAACATGGAACCAAAGACTAAAACCTGCGTACCCCTAGCTCTTTAATTCTGAGCCACACCCATATTCCCTTCTGCCCCAAAATGACCATGGCTAGCTTTTCCCGGGTGAAAGTCGTATCTTTGTTGGTGGTTTCCCAAATGGTCACCCCATGTAAAGGACCTTTTTTGATCAACCCGCATATGTTTCATACGAATGTTGCATTATCGTTCTGCAAACTTTGTTGCCAGTCTTGCAGCATCTTCAGTTCCCATGTATTGAGCGATCCCAGCAGACGCCCCGACATAAAGACAGGCGCAGCTCACATATCACTAAAGACCAGCAGCGATGGGTAGAAACTGGGTGCACAGACACTGGGTGCGGGCGCGATATTTGGGGCCAGGACCAAGCGAGCTTTAATCATGGCGGTCATATCTGCAACTGGAAGACACGACTCTGGGATGATACCGCGTGTTGTTCGGAATCATGGTTTCAGTGGGCAGAAGGCTGGTGGGCTAACTATGCGGAGGTTCGCGCCAGCACCAGCACCACCACCACAACTACCACTACCAAGAAAAAGAAGAGGAAGAAGAAGAAGAAGAACAGCAACAACAATAATAACAACAACAACAACAACAACAACAATAACAACAACAACAACAACAACAACAACAACAACAGCAACAGCAGCAGCAGCAGCAGCAACAACAACAACAACAACAAAAAGAAAAAGAAAAAGAAAAAGCAAAAGCAAAAGCAAAAGCAAAACACACACACACACACTGCAGCAGCCGCAGCAGCAGCGGCGGCAGCAGCAGCAGCAGTGGCAACAGCAACAGCAACAGCAGCACCAGCACCAGCACCACTTACAGCAATGATCATGTTTATGTCAACACGTCTTTGGCAGACGCCTTTGTCCGCTGTGTCAGGCACAACGTGACGGAGACTACAAAGCGCATATTGCTGGACGAGTTTCGCCGTGGCTATGAGGCGCACTATCCACATAGCAGCTTCTCATGGATGTTGATATTTGATTGCTATGTTGTTTCTTACACGCAGGTGCGGTACCTTGCAGCTTCCTGCTCCGCCTTGCCATGCCTTTCCTGACTGAGGGCGGCCATGCTTCGAAGCATCTAACCAGTGAAAGCAAGTCTTTGTTCATAGGACTCCCTCGTGACTGACAAGGGCCGGCTTGCGTCCCCGACCGGGATGGGAGTTTACGGCCTTTCCCCTACGCGTGATTTCAATGGCTGGATGTGAGAAGGGCGTCGCAATCAATGCTGGCAAAGCTTGCTCGGAGGACAGTGCAAAGCAGCGTATGAATCAATGATTGATTGCCAGGGCTTGGGATCATGTTTGTCTTACCCTTGGACGGGCAGCCATATTTGTTTGACAACGAAACAAACATGTATGTCCTCCACCGTTATTTGTTAAGGATGGAGAGTAAGTTTGGGAAAGCGTTTCTGTATTGCCTCCCTATCCTACAAATCACTAATTACTGAACTATATTGTTTGGGTAGACTAAATGTGGTCAAAGTCAAAAACTGATGTTTTCTGTGTGCCCCAGACGGCCACAATTTTGCGAGGGTCCTGGGTTGCACCTCGGTGTTGCGGTTCTGTAGGTGGTGAAGAAGGTCGAGAACGGCAAAGCTCTCTGGCGGGACCGGATGGGGTGAGGCTATGAGTCCCAGACATGGAACATGGGGGTTGATCAAAAGGTCCAAACATGGGATGCCCATTGGATGGAAGACCACGGTTACATGGGAAAAGCCACCCATGGCCACTTGGGGGAGTTGTCATCCCACTGAACATGACGGGCATCAGATGAGTCCATGGACGCAAGTGTCGCGAGGATGTGCATAATCCATTCCCCTTCTTCAGCAACGAGCCTTTCAGGCGGGCCGGCAAATTCAGCAGGTTCTTTGCTTCTCACTGGTCAGGGTTCCAGGCAAACGTGTCAGCGCCAGCCAGGCGACCCGGAAGCACTTTGATCCCTTCCAAAGTACGTAACAGCACATTGGCTGAACGTGGCTTGTGTCGCCCAGGGAGGCGCTTTGTTCGGATGGAGGGATGTTTGATGTTGGGGGAAGAGGTGGATCATGCTGCACTCTGAGCTTTCTGCACTCTTGCGACGCGCATACATCTTCATGGAGATGTTTGCAACACATCCAACGTGGAGGGATGGCGAGTAGCTTTGCAAAACAGCAAGATGCGGTAGCGGCTCTTTGTATCAAAAGGCGAGCTTACCTGCTGCAGTTTGACACGGAGGTTATTGTATGGCTTGGCGTCCAGATGTCGAATGCCAGGCCGAATTCAGTGAAACAAATCCGTGCCACCACTTCAGGACTTGTGTCAGCCCTGTAGTTCCAGTAACAACAGCGGTCAAACCGCAACAGCGGTGGGTGGCAACAGCTTGATATGCATAGCTGATAGGGTGCTACTGGGGAGGGGTCAGGGGGGGAGGGGTCAAATTGACCTAATCACGGTGTTTTGCCCAATTCCCTGCTAAAGCATGCAATCGAAACGCGCGCGCTTGGTAGCACTCAGCAGCTCTCAGTAACACTCAGTAGCACTCGTTAGCGCTCAGTAGCACTCAGTAGCGCTCAATAGCGCTCAAAACCGCTCAGCAGGGCTCAAAACACACGCAACCGTGGCATGTGTTCTTTGCTGAGCCTGAAAATCTCGGCAAAGTCATTGCTGAGCTCACTAATGTTTCTTTCTTTCTCAAGCACCGAGAGATCTCTGCTATTGCATGGGGAGCGGTCACTCAACCCTTCTAAATTCAGCCGGCAAAGTCGGGCCCCATAGCTGCATTGGTCGCAGCCGCCCGCCGACAAAAAGAAGATGCCTCAAAGCGAAAATCGACATCTTCAGGACATTCCCCTCGCAGCGCTGTCTGTTGGCTCAAGCACAGACGCAAAAGCGCTTTGTTAAGGCGAGGGGGATACTCTTTTGCACTTGCGGTGCGCCATGCACCTTGTGCATCTCGACCTCTAAGCACAATCTTCTGGCGCCTAAGATGCACCGGCAGCTTCTCTTCCTGAAGGATTGCAGCGGTGTTCTTTGCATTGGCAACGAAGAAGTGAGTCGGCTTTGCACTGATAGCCCCATAGTCATGCTGATGAACCAGCACTCTGATGGTATGCTTGGCCTGCAGCAAGCTCCGCATGTGTGGAAGCCTCCAGATGGAAGGCAAAAAAGGCTCAGGCGGCTCCTTTGGATGTTCGCACAAGCCGACAACCTGACACTCAATTGCAAGCAGCATAAAGGCTAAAGCCTCTTGCAAAAGCCTGTTTGCAACCTGCAGTTGTCGTCCGTGCCTTACTGCAACCGATCTCCTGCCCCATGGCTCCTCGCTGCACCGAAGCGGCTTGGGACCATTATCACCCTCAAGCACTGATGCCCACCGGGCTCTACTCCAGGTTTCACACGGCGGTGCAACCAAAACTGCACATATGCGGCCAGCTCTGAGATGCTTGCTCCATCTGGCACGCACTGTGGGGTCCAGAAGATCTCCCTCAGCGCCATATACACTGTCCAATGTAATGACCCAAACTCGTCTACCTGCCGGACTCGCCTGATTGAAGTGGTCTGCCCATGATGACATGTCTCCTTCACGCCTCCGCCCTGAATAGAGGTAAAGGACAAACACGTCACTCCCCGGCATGCCTCTAGGCGGTGTACCATCCCTCGCCTGAGCCATATCTTCAGGTGTTCTGCACTGAGCAGCTTCCTGAAGAGCATCTCGACAAACGTCCAGGCTGCAAGTTGCTGACTCTGCACAAACTGGAGAAGCCAGGAGGGCGTCTCGACTATCGTCCAAGCTGCAAAAAGCTGGCTGCACCCCAACTGGAAAATCCGGTGTATCTGCAAGCAAACGGGGTGGGAAGCGGTCTAGATTCGGCTCTATTTGCGCCTCCTCCCACTCTGCCCTGCTTGGCGTTAGCGGTCCAAAGTGCTGTCTCCAAGGAAGTCGATGCGGCCTTTCCTGTGGTGGCGGCATCTTTTCTGCCTCCCGAATGTCCTCGCCTGACAGCGGCCACATGGTCGCCTACAGGTGATACAAGCATGTATCACTGCGATATTGCAAGTGCTGCCGAAGACGGTTCCTGTCATGGAAATCTCTCAAGCATGCATGGCAAACTCCCCCTGTGAACATATATCTGCGTAAAAGCGAGTAGCAGCCATGTTTTCTGCTTTCATGCAGGCGCAGCTGCCACCCGCTGGCTGCCCGATATGCACAGGTTCCACATTGAAAGAGCCGGCCTCTGCCTGCTTCTCCATGTTCTTCACCACCACCTATGCCATCAACCGGCAGACGCAGCCTTTTCAGATTGGCACGATATCCGCACTCCCACTCTTGAAGGTCCTCCATCAACACCTCATGCCACACCGTCTTCTCAACGTACTGCAGCAAAAAACTGTGCCATCTTCCCTGACTCCCCTTGATGAAGTCGATCCACGGCTGAAGGTCACACGACGGTTCCGGCATGCGCTCAAGCTTGCCTTTGAAGAACTTCTGCAGCTCTCGCAAGTCATCCCGTACTTGTTCCCACCAGCCATCTGCGCAAGTTGCATCCTCCTGCACCAGAAGGACCAACAAAGGGTTTGGCCCACTCACCAAAAGCCTGCGAAGATACCGGAGCCTTGCCTGTCTGAGAATAACCGCCGTACTGGGCTGCATGATTGCTCTACGCACTGCTCTGTTTGTAGAGCGCTCAGCTTGCTCCGCAAAGTGTCTCATACCTGCAAGACCCCTGTAACACTTCATAACGAAGGCATCCAGGCGCGTGTAATGTCTGACACTGAGCCGGGGCCAAGTCTCACACTTGTGGAAGAGGCGCGAAAAGACCAAAGCCTTGAAGAAATGCAGTCGTACCTTCAAAGGAATCTGTGGGCTGCAAAACAACTTGAACTGGGCCGCGCTCCATGCTCCTGCTGCTTGCCCGAGACGGTGCTTCAGGTCGGTCCAAATGCCTCCCGATGCTTGCTGAAAGGTGCCCAAACTTGTAGCTGGAGACGACATGTACTGCCTGCACAGCTCCTCCCTGTTCAGAAAAGATCTCATCTCTGTCTTCAAAATGAATCTTGCGCCTGCAGCCATTGGCGCCACTCCCAGCAAGATGGAACAAGATCTCCGTCTTGTTGCGCTTGTAGTTGATCTGCAGCCCCTTTTCTCGCATCCTGCGAGCCAGCGAGGACAGAACCACCTGTGTGTCAACCAGTAGGTCCTGAGAAGAGGGGCTCTCAACCATCAAAGCCACATCATCCATCCAAATAATGGGCCCATGACCTCGGTTGAGGTGGATTTGGCTGCAGTCCTGCATCACCCCCTCCACCGCCTTTCCCATGACTGCCGTAAAAGCCAGATCCGCCATGGGAGTTCCTGGTCTCGTGCCCCGTTGACTTCGAACTACTTGTTCACTGGGTTGGTCCGCGCCCTGCGAATTCACATAGAACCAGGAGTTGTGCAAAACCTGCTGGGCCAGTGTTCTCAGCTCTTCTGACAGACCATATTCACTGAGAGCATCATTTGTACTGAGGTCACTCAAAATGCGCATCTCATCTGGCTCTGCAATGCCCAAAGGATCTCCGCAAATACTTTGAAAGCACTTCGTCACAACTGATGTCACACAGATACTGCGATATGATCAGCTGTCGTGCCCCTGTACCCTTATAGAGGGGGCAAACTCGCCCTCCTTTCAACCAGATTGGGTCCGCCTTCCAAATCCAGAATTTCAAAAACACTGGCCAGAGCATCCGCGCAAAGTCACTCGTTGAGGCACGTGCCAATTCAGGTGGCAGTTGGCACATGCTGTACGACTTGCCTGTACGCAATTTGCGCACTGCATCCTCAAGATCGAAGATGGTGGGCATATCGCTGCAGACAACCTCCTTGCCAGCCATGCTAAGTTGCGCAATGTCATTATCCTGCTCAACATCAGCTTGCAGTTGCTCCAGTGAAATTTCTTCGCCATGCTCAACCTCAGCAAAATACTGTTGCGCAGCATCAACTTGTGCAAAAGGGATTGCCCGCTTCTGCTTCCGCAAGGCTGGGATGAGTCTCCTGGCCGCCCACGCAACTCGGCCACTCGAAGCAACCTTGAGGTTCTGCTCACAGACGTGTTGCTCCAGTGCCGCAATTCTAGCTGCCTTCAACCCTGCTTGTATCTGCTTGTACCTCTGAGCTTGCTGGCAGGATAGCTGAGCAAGTCGAAACTGACATGCCTTGACCCAGCCACTGCAATCAGCTGGTTCGATCCGTCCTCTCCTCCAAGCGTAGAAGACAGCGCCCAAAATACCTCTCTGGAAGTGCCCACGCACATTTCTCCCATGCCTCCTCGACCGCTTCTGCTCGCGCAAAAGAGTCCAAACATCATGGGGTATCCAGGTAGGCTTGGGCTTTGCTCTCATTTTTCGATAACGCAGTAACAGCTGGTCTTTGGCCTCAGCTGTGATGCAGTGCAAGTGCTGATCGGCCGACATTTCCCATGTGGCTGCTTGACCAACATGATGTTGAAGAGCCGCCGCGATCCCAACCAACTCAGACATCCTTTCACTGTTGCGCAATTCAACTCCATCCAGAGCTTGCACCTCAGATACACCACTGACCTTTTCACCCTTCTCGCAAGTGGTAAAGCCAACATAAACGCAAGCAGGTCTGTGGTCATCCTTCTGCATCATGTCGAAGTCCGTATCAACATACGCTCTGGTGCACTCATTGATAACCTCTGTGCTGACAGCAACATAGTCAATTCTCTTCCAGCTGCCTTTGATACACCAAGTGCCTGCCTCCGCCCCAGGACCGATCTGGAAATCCTCATGAGTGCTGGGCAGGGTGAGGCTCAGTTCACATACAAGGTGCTGCAGGCAGGCTCCATTTTGGTTCTGTTCTT